AATAAAAATGAACAATCTTTATTATCAGGGATTGAATTGGGACAGAATAGTCCAAAATGGAATTCCATCTTTTAGTTTTTCTGGTCTCCTGATTGGACCATTCTGTAATCCACATTGCTACTAAAAAGTAGATAAAAAAAAGGAGTTCCACTTCTTTCAAAATCCCAGTTTAATCACTTTATTAGAGGAAAAAACATAAATACATTGTGTTTATGTGTGTGTGTGTGTACTTGCTGTTAATTCATGAATGATCACCTTTACTGGATCACAGGACTGAATACTGAAGACTAAGTTCCAGATTATTGCTAAGTAAATGATGTTTCAGACCAGATTGACCAAATGCAATAATTTTAAATTTAAAGAAACTTTGAATTTACCCAGGGTGACGTGCACTAACACCATGAGTGGTGATTCTAACTACAACATAGATGGGGACTTAACCTTTAAACATCACCTATAATGCTGTTAAAAAGAACTGTTGTCAACATACTTACACAATGTGTCATATTGAGCAGTACTCTCTCTAGGTGGTAACAGGTATTATCCATTTCCAAGAATAACGGAGGTAGCTATTGAATGAAATCAACTTAATGACCACATGTTATGTGAAACATGCACTATACAGAAAAAATAATAAATTCAGAATAAGTACTATAATGTTACAAGAAGACAAATATGTATGGTGTATGCAAATACTACAGCTGTAAGTTAACCCTTCCATTCTCAGAATCATCCTAGTAGCCCTCCATTTAACCATTTGCAATAAATCAATATCCCTTGTTAGATAAGGAAACTAAAACTTTAAATAGTATTCTAAGTGAAAACTAACTAGTGATTTGTATAGAGGGATAATTACCCCTTGTTAGATAAGGAAACTAAAACTTTAAATAGTATTCTAAGTGAAAACTAACTAGTGATTTGTATAGAGGGATAATTACCCGTTTTGATGTGTAATAAATATGTCTGTAAAATACCCTAAAATTTGGTTACCTTCACTGTTAGCAACAGACCACTACTCTGGCCCTTCTGTATCTATTTTCAGTTTCCTAATCTTTCTACTTACCACCAAGGGATTAATATATACATAATAAAGGTGAATTGCAGTATTTTTCACAGAATGCTTCTGCTCAGGGTTAGATTTAATAAGTTAACATGATTCAGAAACTTTAAATGAATTGCAAATTAAAAAATGAAATATATTATTTTTTATATTTGAAAATTTTGTTGTCTACAGTCAAACTTAATAACTTCTGTGTAAAAAATGAAGCATTTAACTTTCTTGTGAGTGCTATGTAATATTACAATAAAGTTTATATGCATTTCTTATGATGAATTTGTACAGTATTGATTTAATAGACTTGCACTAAACACTATGTAACACCAAATTCTTTAGTTCAAGTTGAGTTTTGAAGAAAAATACATTATTAAGTATGCAGTACATCCTCTTATATGCTAATATGTTTCTTGAGTTTGTATTTTTTCTTTTACAGATGAAGCTGACAAAATTGTAGTTCAGAATTTGCTCATGGTTTAGTTTATATTGGATATTTGTTTTCTTTTAGCTTGATGCTTCGATTTACTGATGATGTGTTTGATCCAGGACTCTCTGCAACAATAGGTGTGATTTTTTTGATATGTAAAGAGGATACTTAATTATTTTATATCTGTACCTATTATAACTAATTTATATTAAGGAACATACTAGTTAAAAAATAATTTACTTGTGGAATTAGCCTTGAGGTTACTGGAATTGTAACTTAACTGTATTATGCTTCTTCTGGCATAGTGCATCATCAAAGGAATTTCTTATTTCACACTAATCTAATTTCTGCATCACCTAGCTAGATACAAGACAGCTAATTTTCAGCAGGGCTGCTTAACTTGTTCTCCTGAATGGAACTGTAGGTTGGAAGCTTCTTTTTCATGTATATTTCCCTGTAAGGGGGCCATAGGCCACCTGGAGGGTTTACCTGTTTTAACCATTAACACAACTATACAGTAGTGTGTTGTCTGTCAGTCAGTAGATACTAAAATAATATCACATAATGGATGCTTAACATTGCAAGTTGTACTGTCGTGACGTCATTAAAACTTTCACATGCCATGAATCACGAGAAGAATTATGCACTCTGTTGGCTACAACATAGCATGGCATGTGAACTTCAAAAGCAAGAACTAAAAATATTTGTTACTCTTAATTTTGGTTTTATTTACTCATGAAACAGAACACTTTCAGGGATCCTGCAGAAGTACATCTAGTTTTGTACTTTGTGTACTTTATCATTGCTCAGGTGGATTACACCCAGGCATAAAGTATACTTAAGACATTTTCAATAGGATTTTGTCTCTGAACATTAAGCTTCTTATCTCTTGGACCATAGTTCTTGATGCTTTCTAACAGGACTGGCTAGATTTATAAATGTATGACTTTTCTGATTTGCATACTCTCAGACAAGCCCTTTTCAAGATCAGGAAATTGAAGTATTGAATTTTGCTGGTGGTACCAGGATATTCAGCTCAGTCATGTCTCCTTATTTTATGTCAGTTGTGATTGGAAGGTCTTTTGTCTATTCTAAAAGGCATAATGTTTTAAGTTGATCATCTGTTTTATTATCCATTATTATGTCACAGTATTTCAGTTTGTCTTGTCATTCTGATATTGCTTACAGTGTCTTAAGTCCCTATTTTTATGCTGCTTATTAATTATCAGCCATTTTGTGTCATTGAGCAGCACTGTGTGTTTTCTCCAATTTCTGTAGAAGTTTAACATTAAGAGCTGATTTGAAAGAAACATAGGTGTGAACAAGATTCTTTTGCTTTTATTGATACAAACAACTTATTAAACTAGAAAGTTGTATACAGCTAGGTCAACATTGTATAATATTTTTTTAACGATCTACTATTGGTGATAAATATAAGGAAATTTATTAATTGCCAAGTTATAATAATTATGTCCAAGTGATAGTTCATAGATATTTATGGATGCAACTTTTATATCCATTATATGGAATTGGCTTTTGTAAATATGCTGTGGCAGTCTGTATGTGTGTGTAAATGTAATATCTGTTAAATTTTGCTGTAAAATGAACATAATATTAGTCATGTTTTAAAGTAACCTCTACTGATAAATGTACTAGCATAATTTGAGTGAGTGTAACAGTAAGTAATCTACAGTGTTGGTGCTTAAATCAGATCATAACTTTGTTACATACAATTATTTTTGAATATGACAACAAGTAACCTCTGTTGTAATCAACAGATCAAACAGAACACAATAGAGGATATTTGTGTTAGACCTTAGTAGACCAGAAATGTCAAGCCCAGCAATTCTTCACCTTTGTGAAATGTCCTAAAGATATCAGAAACAACATTTTATTTGCTACTATAATTTTTAATACGTCTTAATAAGTGCAAAGCTGATGTAAATCTTATTTTCAAGCATTCATTCCACTTGGATGGTTTTGGTGCCACAGTAAATTTCATTGTCTGCTTTTCCGAAACTTGCACAATTATTGTTCATATTATTAGGTAATAGTAATTTATACAGTTTTATATCTGATCTGTTACTGATATTCATTTGGATATAGCAGCTTCAAGGTTATACAGAGTTTTTTATTGCAGGAGTAGATTTCAAAGTGAAAGTTCTGGCAGCTGATGGAAACAAAGTCAAATTAGCCATATGGGTAAGCCATGTTTTTATTGATCATTTTATGAACATGCCATTTACTTTGTTTATTCTTATTTATAAAACATGAAATTTGAAAAAGAAGTATTTTGAATTATTTGTTTCTTTTCTACTATTCATAAATATTCAGTTAAAACTGTATATGTGTGTATATATATATATATATATAATTTTTTTTGCATGATAAAGCAGCTTTTTTTGTTGTTACCAGAAACAACTACTATTAACAACAATTTCAAAGTGAAAATATCAATTAAAAGGATTCTTCACTCATTCTATTGATATATCTGTATTGTATTTACAATTTTCTAATTTCTTATCAATATATTTTTCGTTGATGATAATGTCTGAGATAGTTGAATTCACTTGTTTAATTTTGAGAACTTTTTTAGTTTATTTTACAGGTATATTCAGTTTTCTAAAAAATCTTTGATTTCTGCTGGTAGAAGAATGAGCAAAATTAACATGCCTGCACTCATAACACTTGCTTAAGCTCATTTATGAATGAACAAAACTCAGAAGTTGTAGAGCCATAATGCTTGCATGGTAAAATTCTTTTTTTTTTAACTTGCAGTTTTACTCACTGTTTAGAAAAATGCAGATAGAAAGAATACATACTGCTTATCAACCTTTCAAAACTTTTTTTGGAAATTTTACGATATTTTTGGGCAAGGGTCAATCTAAGATAAAAAGCTAAGTTTCTTACAGTTAACCTGTTGAGTGATTTTTGTATGGTCTACAGGCATCATTTCCATCATTTTTTTTAAAGTGGTGATATATTGTTCATTTTTAAATTCATTTAATGTTTGAATGGAGGTAGAAAATCATTCAGAACATCTTTTGCAAGTTGAAAACAAAATTATAGAACAGTTTTCTTTCTTCACGTAGCTGACTACCAAGTTACAACATTTTTTTTTACAGCATCTCAGTATTTTCTCTGTCAACAAGACATTTTAGGTTGCATAGTAAATGTGATGTACATTCACTTAATACTGTGTTTGTGTACATATAATAAATCTTTTATATCTTTTGTTTTGAAGGATAAAGTATCCTAAAACTGTTATGTCATATGTATAGTTTTATTTATTTATTTATATACTTTTATCTTTCTAAAGTACTACACAGATATTTAAGGTTTTGTTGACTTTGATATAGAAATTAGAAATAAAAAACAGAAACAGTTTTTGCATTTTAAGAGATTTTCTAATTTTTGTGTGAAAGCTTTAGGAGAAATTTTATAATCTTTTTCATTATTGAGTCAGTTGAAAACAAAATTACATGTAAGGTGTATACACAGAAAAACACCAGTGTGTTCCTACATATTTTTCTTGGTCGATATGTACCAACTTTCATTACTAATATCATGAATGAGCTTAAAGTATACTTAAGAAAAACTAAACCAGCTTAGTGAAAATAAATAAAAGAATTAGTGAGATTTTGCTTATCCACATGTATTACTTTTAAGTTAATGTATAGTCAAAACAAACTTTTACAACCTATAGTGTAGGATATATATATTAAGCCTGACAAAAATTATTCGGAACATTTTTTACAAGCTCAAAATCAGATTATAGAACAATTTTTTTTTATGTTCACATAGTCTTACTAGCTGGCATCTGGTGGATCTGAGCAGTGCTGGATTGGTGAAATTTCCAGTTACAAAAGCATTTCTTTTGTGATGTTTTACAAGAAAAATTTTGACACTTTGTTAATGATCTACTGTACAGTATTTCTATGTCATCTATAACAATAATGGTCTTAAATAATAATAAATGTTGTAAAAATACCTTAAACTGTATAAAAATATTTATAAATACAGTATCTTAAATAAAGTAATACAATATATTGTAATGTACTCAGCAATTAAATGTCCTTATCAAAGTTTGCCAGTTTAAGGTTCAGGTTTTGTAGCTTTGCCGATTACAAAAAAGTCACTTCAACACTAAACTAAATAGTCACTTAAAATATATAAAGTCATCAAGAAATTAATGTCACTTTTTTTTTTAGATGAAAAAATCCAAACAACTTGTATATCAAAGCAAAACATTTATTAAATGAAATAGTCTCCATTCTTATCGATGATGCTTTTCCATCTTATAATTAGGTTGTTAATGCCCTGATTACAGAAATCACTTGGTTTTGGAGCATAAAACAAGTCGATGTCCTCTTTAACACCTTCCACATTTGCATATATTTTCCCATTAAGATGGTATTTCAGAGAACGAAAAAGATGGTAATCTGATGGTGCCATATCTGGAGAATATGGTGGGTGGGGGAGAACTTGTGTTGCATCAAACGTGCCACATGTGAACGTGCATTGGCATGGAGAAGAACATTTTTCCGATTGAAAGGCATTTCTGATGAAGGGCTTGATTTAAATGTTCCAGTTGCTGATTATAGATCTCTGCATTGATAGTTCGCTGTGGATTGAGGAGTTTGAAATGAATCACTCCTTTGATGTCCCACCAAGTACAAAGCAACACTCTCTGGGATGGAGTCCAGGTTTTGGGGTTAGAAGTGAGTTTTGTCGAGGACAGAGCCATTGTTTGTGGCATTTGATATTTGCATAGAGAATCCATTTTTCATCTCCAGTGACAATTCTGTCCAAAAATGGATTATGTGCCAGAAGAGATCAAGCAATGTTCACACGCTGGGTACAATGATCATTGGAGAGTTCTTGATGCACCCAAACACCTTCTTTATGGAGTTTTCCCATATTTCTTAGATGTTTACATATTGTTTCATGAGAGACATGCAATTTCAGGGCCATTTCACAAGTGTGTTGCCTTGGGTTAGACTCAACAAGGGTCTTCAGAGCATCAATATCATTTCCAACATGTCGGCCCCTGTCATCACAGTTTTTAAGGCTAAAGTCACCTGAACGAAATTTGCTGAACCATCATTGATATTTGCGAATGTTTGAAATATTTCCATAAACTTCTTTGATATTCTTTTTGTCTACAGAGCTGCTGTTTCCCTTTTTCT